TCTCTCTCTCTCTCTCTCTCTCTCTCTCTCTCTCTCTCTCTCTCTCTTTCTCTGTAGAGCAGTTTAATTATGCTCAGTTAATTTTAATGAGCTCTCTCTTTTTAATTTTTTTATTATTGATTGTTTTCAGGTCTTAAATATTTTTAAATGTACTACTTCTCCCCCAGAATTATTTATAAAATACAGAAGATTGTAAACCTTTTTTTGTTCTTCGAAACTGTGTGTGTGTGTGTGTGTGTGTGTGTGTGTGTGTGTGTGTGACAGAGAGTGAGAGAAGTGATGAAATTGATTGTAGTCAATTTTCAGCATTGTGACCTTTCATGCCATCACCAGGGTTTTCCAGTTTTCCAAACTCATTTCACTTACATTAACACAATGCGACTTGTTGAGCCATACTGTCCCATTACCTCAGCCACTTTAATGACAATGAACCACAAAAGCTTTGTAATCCTGAACAATATCGACAGTATTTCCTTCCTTGCCCTGTGCCTCATCCTCCCCAACTGAGCTGTTCAACACTAGCAAAGGGAAACTCTGTCTGATACCATCATGGGAAATCCTGTTCTGAACCTTTGGACACTTGGCAAACAGCATTTGTTTAAGCATTTAATGATACAACAGGGATATGTAGGAGCAATGCAAGAAGCTATAAAAGGTCTTATGCATTTCTTTGTCTCTGGCAGAGAGCTTCTTGTCCTGCTCCTTTTATGGTCACTAAACTTCCGCGTGGTCCTTTAGCAGGCCAGTCGTCAGTTTCCTCTGTTTGTTTTCTGGTTCAACCGAATCCTTCCTCTGTAAATGACAAGAGGTTACAAAGGCTGGCTTTCATCCGAATCCTTCTGCAGCCTCCCTAAGTGTCCACATTTTTCTGTTGACTTCTAACTCAAGAGTTTCTGTAGGTATCCAATGTCATAGAAATCCATTTTTAGGAAGGAGGCCTCTCATAACAATGATGGAGGCTATTTAATAGAACCACGGTAATTGGTTCCTCTTAACTTTTTGTTGGCACACAACATCCACAGCTGCCTCAAAGTGTGTTTCTTCCAGATTTATTAGAAGTCTCGATGATGCTTGCATTCACATTCACTCCATCAGCAGAAGTAGCCAGCAACCTGAGAGCATCACTCCAGCTTAGACAGCGATTGGCCATTTGTCAATGATGACAAACCCTGAATTCCATTGTAAACTAAGACCTGGAAGCTGTCTCCTCAGATACGTTTACTATGGAATACAAATAATCTAAAAAAAATAATGGGCAGAACTAAATTGCACACACATGGGAAACAAAAGAAGCTTGCACAGGATGAAACGGAAACAGCAAGACAAACCAACCCTTTGACGCATTTCCTACAAGGAGCTGAGGGCCCACAGATGACTGATTTACAGCAATTAGGCTTCTCACCCGCTGAGACACTTCCACTCTTTAAAGAAACTTGAGCATCAGACCTGCCCTTCCACCTCTTTGTCTGCTCCTTCATTCCTCAGCAACAACTTTTTACCGCTCTGTGCCAGTCCCATGTGTAGATAAAATCAATTTATCAGTGCAATCACAGCCACTTGTCTTGTTGAATATCTCTAAATGTAAAGTTAAATGTTATCTATAACGTCTTAGAAATTGAGAGTAATCACAACAGTTTCAAGCTCTTTTATGGCTTGTGTGTATAAATATCAGTTATCACACTATTAAAAGACTTACTTTGCAGAAAAAAAGCATCAATGCCAGATAAGGGTGCTGATATTTGTCAAAAACGTGGATTATGTTGAAATTACAAAAAAAACGAATGAGATATAACATCTTAATTAGTGAGATTTAGAGGTGCTGGTGACTCTCTCCGGCCATTTCCCTCTATTTCTTTGTGCTAATATAACTGGGTGGCTGTTGGCTTTATAGGTTCATAATTAGATCGCATAGTGGTATCAATCTTCTCATCTAACTCTTGGCTAGAAATTGAATAACAACATTTCCCAAAATTTGTCAAACTATTCCTTTAATGCCTCCTCCACACTGCCAAGGTAAAGTTCCTGTGGGGATGATGTTCAGATTTCTCCAGATTACAGTTATATAAATTAATAATGTTTTATAGAACAAGATGTCTTCTAATGGTCGGAAGTAAACTCCAACACATTGCCCACTGTACATAGTGACCGAACCATTTTTTAGCGCAGATCAGTCTCCCCACAGTCTCTTGATAATCTGTCATTGTGGTCGTGACTTAAAGTTTTGTGTTGTGTTCCCAGACTTCGGTTCATTTTGGGATGTAGAGTTCGGATCATCTGATTCAATGATGACTTTGGCTGCCAGCCATGTACACTCGCCTTTACATAAATTTACTTTCAGAGTACATCTTGTGTGAGTGTTTTAGATAGATTTTAGGAAGGCGGCAGACCAGAAGCTTCTCTGGGAAAACACAAACTCCAAACAGTAGAAGTCACTGGAGTGCAGACCGGTTCGAGACCCAGAGCAGGACCCTACATTCCTCAGAAACCCCCCGCCTCGAACCCGCTGCCTTCATTACGCACTGAGCAGATGAACAAGGGAGGGATGGAAGTCTGAGAAAAAAGGTGATAAATTACTGGAACAAAAGACTGATTTCGGAAAAAGACAGAGTGATGATTTTACTGATGTGACTCAGAAAGATATGAATAGGATGACTACGACCGTGGAGGTCCCTCAGCGTGACATTCCTGTTCTGTGAATTGTCTTCTCAGGACCTTGTCTGTGCATCTGCAGGATGTTCATGAGTCTGCAGGCTGAAGTAGCAGCTTCCTGCTTCATGACTCATTATTTCTGGAAAAATTCAATTCAAACTCAACCATAAATAGCTAACAGTGAATAAATACTATAAATGTGATATCTTGATATCTTGAACTAATATATAAAAGACAGTTAATATGACTTCTAAAATTTATCGTTTAACAGTTTCCAAGATTTTACCTAAGTTACCTAAAATTGCAAACAGCCAAACACTGTACCTAAACGTAAACTATAACAATTTCCAATATGACTGCAGCAAACAAATGTTTTCATTGTAAATAAACCTGCCGGTTATTTTCTCACTTACTCGATTAGTCCTTTTTATATAAAATATCCAAAAAAGTCTGAGTCTAGAACCCCCAAATATTTTCTTAACTGTCTTATTTGATAAAGAAACACAATACATTCTCACACGTGAGCCAGTGGAATGATTGAACATTTGCCTTTTTAATTTGAAAAGACTACTGAAACAATGAATTAATAACCAAAAATAGTTTTTCTGTGTTCTTCAACCAAATAATTAAATCACGAATAGTTTCAGCTTTCATTAAACTACTGATAAAGTCCTCAAAGTCTATTTCTCAAAAAAAGTGAAATAGTTTCGAAGGCAAATCATGTGTTTTTTTTCTCCAAAATCTTGTCTTGATTTTGATTCAACCTTATTATTTTATGTTTCATGATCCAAACAATCATCCCTTGAAAATTCATAGTTTCTAATTGAAAAAGGTTAAAATGATCACCCAACGATGACGGATTTATTTCAAATCAATTCTAGACAGAGAGGTCTTCAGTGAAATGGGATTTTTTTGCAGCGTAAGTGACTCTTTAATCCTCATTTTTCTTAAGTTATATATTGCTCCAAACAATGAAAACAAGTTGCATTAATAAACTGAAGTCATTAATCTTTTTTATTCATCTTCCTTGTCTCTTCTTCTTAATACCAAGCTCTTCCCAGGCTGAAACACTGAAGAAACATGTCAGTGGGTGGATTTACTATGATGAATGCCCCCTATTAAATATAATCACCATGGAGAAGCAATGTTCAATTCTTGGCCCATGAAGATATCAAAGTGTCTCTTTGTCACAATCCCTTCTTGTTGTGACGGAGTTTAGCAGAAATTCAAATTTCTCTCCCACTCTTCCCCCTCACCCCCTCACCAAACCAGTGCATGCTCGAAAGCCCCCCATCCTCTGGAGCAACTCGGACAATAGCCGTCTCTCATGCCGGGCAGACTACCCCCCGAAACAGCTTGCTCTCGGGTCCGGTCTCAGCGGCTCGGAAAGAATGACATCTTTTCCTCTCTTTCCTTCCTAAAGAATTTCCTCAGCCCATGAGCACAGCGCTGTGAGCCCTGGTGAGATAAACAGACGTCTGTAATCATCAATCACAAAGGAATGGCACACTGAGAGGTGCATGGTCAGGAAATCTTAAAGGAGCCAAGTTCAGGGGTAAAAACGAGTGAATAGTAGAGATAAAGTTGATTATTTGATGGGCCGGATTAAGCTGCCCCAAGCCCCTCTGCAGCCATGTCATGTCTCACCGCCTGTGAGACATGCGTGGATGAGCAACAACTTTCTCCAGTTGAACAGTAGCAAAACCGAAGCCCTCCTTGTTGGCACTCCACACCAGGTTTAGTCATCCTCCATAACTCATCTCACCTTCGACGGTCAGGTCATCCCCCTCTCCTCCACAGTCACTAATCTGGGAGTTAGGTTTGACCCACACCTGACCTTTAATGACCCTATAAAACACCTGTGCAAAACCTCGTTTTATCATCTCAAAAACATCTCCAAACTCTGCCCCACTTTAACCCTGTCAGATGCAGAGAAGCTCGTCCACGCCTTTACCTCCTCAAGACTGGACTAACTCACTCTTCACTGGGATCACTGCCAAGAACATCCAGAAGCTGCAATACATTCAAAACAGCGCTGCCAGGATCCTGA